CGGTCAATTTCCCGCCAAAACTCGGCTGAGCTTGTTACGTGGTAACTGGTGTTGCCATTTATCAGGCATTAATGGTGGCCGCTTAACAATATTTTAATTATGAAAATTTTAAATGCCCCTTAGAGACTACAATAATGTTAAAAATTAAAACCACCAATTAAATTTAAATATTGCTAAGAGTAATAATTAAATAAATTTAAATAAAAGCTAAACACAACTTTCATATATTTTTCGCGTACTTTATTTTTTTGGTATTCCAAAACATTTGTAGTTTATTCGTTCACAAAAGTGACAATCTTATATTCTTGGTAATATCGAAAAACTAAACAAAGCACTAATTTTAAACGACAACGAAATAGGTAGGGAAATAAATAAATTGCATTTTTATTGTTCCATTTTGGTTGCTATATTTAAATTAAAAAGAATACGTATCCATTTATATAATAATTTTGCGAATAAACATTTTGTAAAACAACACCGAAACTACTTTTACAAATGCAAGAGCTTAATGCCCGCTTGACCCGTTTTTGCATGAGGTTTTTCTTTCGCCCTATTATGCATTTGTTTACCACTGCCTGTAACAGTTTTTAAAACGATTTTTTTCTCGGTACTTATTAACCTATAACATCAAAAGGCAATTAATGCCCTTTCCGAAAATGCCAGATTTATTTATTAGGTGTCTGGCCTTTACAGTTGACATATAAAACGGTTATAGTGTATATTGTATACTTGTGTAATGTATATGAACTTTTGTTAGTTTCAGTAGTAGCTCATATGGATGATGTTGTTACAGGAATAGAGAGTGCACCTCTACGCACATACTCGCTCACTATAATTCCGCCCTGCACAGACGATCTGAACGGAGACTAGCCACCAAATCGGTCTGGAGGATGGTGGCACTACATACATCCTCGTGATTACTTCTATTTGTAATGAAATAGTCACGAAGATTATACTAGTAAAATGGTGTTTACCAAGATTTACATCGAGATAAATAACAAAATATTTTCCTTATTATTCTTCTTGTCTTATACATTTAGCAGGGATTGGTAGAATGTAGGTATATATATTACAAAATTAAAACTAAAACATAAAAGGCATCGCATTACAATAACTCGCGCATTGGATTAGGCTCCGATTCGATATTTGTTCACTTGTAGACCTTTTCTGCCCTGGAGTACGTGTAGAAAAGTACCTACCACCCTTTGACATAATTCTGAGTAACAGCAATGTTTACTGTTGTTGCCAGTTTGAAAGTTTTATAGAGCCCGTAATAATGACATGCTATAAAACATTTCAATTCGATATAAATAGTGAGATGCGCAATAAAGCGCAGAAGCCGTGGTTTTTGAACGTAGTAAAACTATGCTGCAGCTATATTGTGTTTGCAGCACGAATGGGTCGGCTCGACTGAAGTAGGACCACGCTCTAACAGAATATCAGCGTAAAATAGCAGCTTAATGCTGCTATGTTTCGTATAGTGAGTGTAGAGAACCGGATACCCTTTTTACTGGAAACAGGCATTCCACCTTATACCCGCAGGGGTGACAACTGTTAGCTTCTTTCTAGTAACCCTAAATAAGTCTGTATTTATACTGCTCATTAATGATAGGTACTTGTACTTGGCAACACTAAATTATTAAATCATTCAACCATAGATTCGGTCGTTTAAGCGAATGCATACTAAATGAGTGGAAGGGGTTTTTTTTCGGGTGACAAACGAACACACAGTCCACCTGATGGTAAGTGGTTACTGTGACCCATAGACATCTACATCTATCCTCAATAAAGACTCAAGATGCAGATGCGTTGTCACCCGAGAGGACTAAGATGGAATGCCTCTTTGCCAGTAAAAAGGGTCTCCGGTTCTCTACACTCACCATACGAAACACAGCAGCGTTAAGCTGATATTTTACGCTGGTTTTCTGTGAGAGCGTGGTCCTTCCCCGGTCGAGCCGACCCATTCGTGCTACAACCATAATATAGCTGCAGCATGGCTCTACCACGAAGCTAACACGCAAAAGGAGAAAGGTATTCTGGTTCGAGGTTCAGAGGAAGTAAGTCGTAAGCAATAAAGCGCATAAGTAGTTAATATTTAATTATTGGAAAACTGAAACTGTCAATACGTGTGAATTTATTTACTATGATATTATGTATACCCTGTGACGTTGTATTATTTTATGGAAATATAACATGTGAATATTCCATCATTAGGTATTTCTTGTACGAATCCTCGTATTTGAGCTGACGACAACACCACGCATATGCATTATGATTCTTAATTGAGGATAGATGTAGATGTCTATGGGCCACAGCATCCACTTGAATGAATGTGTACTCATTTGCGATTCACTATTGTAATGTAATGAAACCGAACCATTTTTGAAAAGATTGATCACTGGTGATGAAAAGTGGATCACTTACGACAAGAATGTGCGAAAAATATAATGGTCAAAGGGTAGTCAAGCTCCACAGACTGTAGCGAAACCCAGATTAACACATAAATAAGGTGGTACTGTGTGTATGGTAGTAATGGAAGGGCATCGTTTATTATGAGCTTTTACTACCGGGCAAAACCATCGATTAATATCTCTACTACCAACAACTAATGAGACTCAAGCAAGAAATTGAGAAAAAACGGCCGGAATTGATCAACAGAAAAGGAGTGATCTTTCATCATGATAACGCCAGACCACAGACATCTTTGGTCACTCAGCATAAATTGAGAGCTTGGTTGGGAAGTGTTAATGCATCCACCATATAGTCCTGACCTTGCACCCTCAGATTTTCGCCTGTTTCGGTCTCTTCTGAATACTATGTGTGTTAGATTAACATGAAGAGAGATCTTTCATCTTTTACTTGTCGCATTTTTTTGATCAAAAATCCCAAGATTTCTACATCAACGGGATTCTGTCACTATCTACAAGATATTGAACAAAATGGCATATTATATTTAATTGTAATTAAACTTTGAAAAAGAATGTCTTGAATTTGTATATAAAATACGAAGACTTTTTTCTTAAGAACTTTTTTCCCGACCTAATATATAAAAATGGTGACTGGGCGAAAATATTATCCAATATATTATAAAATAAATAAATAATTATTCTCACACCATAATTTAGAAAAAATATGTTTAAAGATGTCTAATATTATTTCAAAATTGTGAATCATTTGAACATTGGTAAACAGTGGCACGAACTTGGTCCCTGAAAAGATTTATTGCCGCTGATACAAAAGTAAACGATATATTAAATGCATTTAGTAATTACAACCTTGGTCTCTTAACAAAAAGTGCATTTAAACATTTTGCGTTGTGCACTGTATTGATACAAGAAACAATTTAATTTATTCGTTCTAATTAGATTGCTGCATCAAAACACAATTTGTGAATGCTAAGACAATATATATCGTTCGAAAGCAAATAACTAAGACAATATTATAATATATCATTATCGATAACTTGCTTTCTAAAATAGATTTTTTAGATGTTGAAAAACGCTTTAATGTAATTTTCCTTTTAATGTATTTTTATACTTACCTTTTTTCTGGCAATGATGCGTTCCATCTTAGTCCTCAGATGCATTGTCATTTTGATTCATAATAATTGTGGATACATCTATATGTCTTTGGGCCTTAGCACCCACTTACATACCATCAGATGGACTTTGTTCGCGTTTGTAACCATTATTCTATAGAAAAACTTCAGGTAGAGTTTGAGTTCGTTTATCACTACAGTGTTAAAAAAAAAGCGCTGCGAGAGCGTTAGGTGATATTGTCACATAACAATTTCTTCACTGAAATATTTGAATTGTGAATGTGAAGCACAGTAGAGTGATAAAGCTAGAACAAAACATTGTATTAGCTATTCGTATACTCATGTAGCGGATTCAAAACATTTTGAATCCGCTCCTTTAATATAAATATTATAAGACAGAATTAATAATAATTTTGAATACTTTCAATTGATCTGAGCGAATTATTTATAATACCTGACATAATGATTTCATATATGTGTAGACCGGACTAAAAATTAAAATGTGATCAAACACCTCTGTTTGTTTTACATTTCATTTAAGGATTCATATAATGGGAACTGGGTAAATATATTATTTAATAGATAGCACGTCCTTTACATAGAAGTACCAAAATGGAAGAGAAAAAATAGAATAGCGTGTTACTAAGAAACGTAACAAACAATTTTTATTATGTCTTTGACAACCTCAGTTCCAGTTACAATTCTAATCACCGGAGACAACCAGCAGTGTGAAACTAGGAGGTTGCAGTATAATAGCTTAATCAAAAATACAATGTTTATACATACACCACATTTCATCATACACACGGAACTGCCGATTGGATTAAGAAATTTTATCACCCTATTTCGACCTGTTGGTGTAGTAAGCGACGACTATGGGATATGTCAGAGATATCTCGTGAATTCCGATAGAGATCGGTATAATAATCTCGTTTACTCCAGACGTAAAAAACCCGGATCTACGACGAGAAGCAGCGTCAAAGGTGCGAGACGTTTAGTAGTGCGAACGTCTAGTACTGCGAACGTTTAGTACTGCGAACGTTTGGTACTGAGAACGTTTAGTACTGCTAAAGTTTAGTACTGCGAACGTTCAGTACTGAGAACGTTTAGTACTGCTAAAGTTTAGTACTGCGAACGTTCAGTACTGAGAACGTTTAGTACTGCGAACGTTTAGTACTGAGAAAGTTTAGTACTGCGAACGTTTAGTACTGCGAACGTTTAGTACTGAGAAAGTTTAGTACTGCGAACGTTTAGTACTGAGAAAGTTTAGTACTGCGAACGTTTAGTACTGCGAACGTTTAGTACTGCGAACGTTTAGTACTGTGAACGTTTAGTACTGAGAACGTTTAGTACTGCAAAAGTTTAGTACTGCGAACGTATAGTACTGCGAACATCAAACGACCTGCCAAACGTAACGATTAAGGTTAAAACAGATAAACTCGTCTAAAATAAATAAACTTACACTTTCAATGAGCTGCTGCTTCTCTTGCAACTGTACCTCCTGGTGTCGCAATGTGGCTCGTTGCTTCTCCGCGGTACTGCTCAGTCGCGAGAGGACTTCTTGGTCGTGCTCACGCGCTGGCGATGGTGGGGCGCTTGTGCCTATAGAAAATTAATGCATTTAGACATTTTAATATAAGGTTCTGACTTTATTTTTTTACTTTATTTAACTTGCTTTGTTCGTATGTCTTTCCGGTTCAAGGATTGTAATCAATTTTAGAAGCACTTGCTGACTATGACTATGATTGAGCTAAAATTTCGTATACTCATAGTAGTTACATAAGAAGGGACAGTGCAATATGGAGCTGATCTGATGATGGACCCGGATGCTGGCCCTCGCAACGCCTATAATAGCTTGTTTATAAGTATAATAGCTATAATAGCTTGTACTAGCTGGTACCAAGCGCGTTGCAGCCGCAGAAGAAATAATAGTGCAAATATAGTTTTCAATTTGAAAGAGTTATATTATATTATGTAATTTATCTTCACGCACAATCCCTGACGGGGTAGCCAGAGAGAACAGATCGCCAAGTGTCACGATCCTTACAAACCTCTTTCGCTTCTTTCAGATTCATTATCTTCTTCATGCATGCACGTCTAGGTATCCGAGTACTCTTGACCCTACCCTCTTCGAGCAATTTGCTCACATGGTCTTCGAAAGTTAGTCTCGGTCTACCTCGACACCTTTTAATATTAACTTTCGCGCTATATATTTTCTTCACCATTCGGTCTTCACTCATTCGCTCAACGTGCCCAAACCACCGAAGCACGCCCTTATCAATTTTTGTGATAAGGTCATCTTTCAAACCTGCCATATTGCGAATCTCTTCGTTTCGCTTTCGGTCGGCCATGGTAACGCCGCACATTTTACGAAGAGATCGCATCTCCACTGCATTCAACTTACTTTTATGCTTCTTCTGGCATACCTAGGTTTCGCTGCCATATAACAAAGTCGGTACCAACACTGCGTTATGTATTGCAAGGCGTGCACTCTTCGCTACGCCTTGCCTTTTGACTAACGCAGTCAGGGCACCATTGACTTTGTTCCCGGCAGCGACACGCCTGTCCACATCTAAATCACATCTTCCATCCCGGCTAAAAGCACTCCCCAAGTATACAATTTCATTTACCTGTTCTAGACATTCCTGATTTACCCATATTTCACACTTCGTTCTCTCTTCGTCCCTTTCAAATATTATGTAATTAGGAATGATAATATACATTTATTGAAGTTGAATGATATATAACTTTTGTTTATAAGTATAATAGCTATAATAGCTTGTACTAGCTGGTACCAGGCGCGTTGCAGTCGCAGAAGAAATAATTGTGGAAATATAGGTTTTAAATTTGGAAATTTTATTAATATTTAAATTTGGAAGAGTTGTATTCTATAATTAGGAATGATAATATACATTTATTAAAGTTGAAATATATATAACTTTCAAATAAATTTGTCCGTACAAGAAAAGAGCGTACTCCTTTTTAAAAGGCAACGCATCTGCAATTCACTCCCTGGTGTTGCAGTTGTTCATGGGCGGCGGTAGTCACTTACCATCAGGTGAGCCGCATGCTCGTTTGCCCCCTCTCCTATAAAAAAAAACGTGCGGCACTTACTGTAAATTAATTGTACTATGCCTATTATGCAAATGCATATAACTCTCTAATTACGGCGTTAATGCATATTTTAGCATTTTTTCACAATCGTGCATATTTCGTTTAGTACTGAGAACGTTTAGTACTGAGAAAGTATAGTACTGAGAACGTTTAGTACTAAGAACGTTTAGTACTGCGAACGTTTAGTACTGAGAAAGTTTAGTACTGCGAACGTTTAGTATTGAGAACGTTTAGTACTGCGAACGTTCTTCTTCCAATGCAGCGGTGAAGAGTTTCGGGGATATAACGTCACCCTGTCTTACACCTCTCTGCAATTAGATAGGTTTCGTACTCTGGTTCTGTACTCGGATAGCCATTGTAGCTCTACTGTACAAGCACTTCAGCACTTCGATATACCGACAGTTAACTTGGCACCGCTGCACCGCCCAAATTCCGACGGAATCAAAGGCTTTCTCATAGTCCACTTACGCCAGGCATAGTAGTTGATTTATATATATATATATATATATATATATATATATATATATATATATATATATATATATATATATAAATCAACTACTAAGTTAATTTCATTTGTTCCTACAGGAAGGAAAGTGAGATTGCACGAACGCAAACAGGTTCAACATGACCGGACATAATTGTATTAATGTTACAATGGCTTCAATGCTCTTACAAAGCTCATGTGTCGATTAAGTAAAAATCTATTGTAAAATTATATTGAAACTAGCTATCCCCTGCGACTTCGCCCGCGTGGAATTTACTACGATTTCATGGATTTTTTTTTTGCGCGGAACTCTAATTCTTTTTCCAAAATAAAAGTATCCTAAGTAACTCCCTATAACATCAGCTATCCGCCTGTGAAAGTCCCGTCAAAATCGGTTCAGCCGTTTCGGAGATTAACCGGAACAAACAGACAGAGACAGACAAAAATTTAAAAATAGTTTTTTTTTGTAAATTAGTGCCGTATATACTTTCATATGCATCTAGTAAAAAGCTATAATTTTAACATTACAAACAGACACTTCCATTTTATTTATTTGTATAGATATTGATTAGTAAAATAAAGACATGCGTATGATCCGCTGCGGAAAGCAAGTCCTGCCTTGCGTTCTAAAATGATTACTTACGGTGCAGGAAAGAGTCAAAAATTGATGAACGTCAAAATATTTTAAACTTATTTTGGACTTCACGATGGTTTTCTTTACCGCCACGCACACGGCAAATGAGTACATAAAAAATTAATAACTAATTCCAGTGGTGAACTAATGTAATGTAGCTCAGGAACGAATAGGAGAACGAAAATGACGAGAGATGAATATGCGAGCGAACATTAAATCAATATTTTTGATACAAGTTTCAGTAAGAAAGGGCACACAGTTTACTTGATAGTAATTTTCTGTTGTGGCCCATAAGCACCTACGAGATGATAGATATCACCGATTAATGGGAAATAAGATGGAATGTTTTATCAACAGTAAAGAAGGTCTTCAATTAGTCACTGATAAAAAAAATTGTTTCGGGGATATGACGTCACCCTGTCTTACACCTCTCTGCAATTGGATAGGTTTCGTACTCTGGTTCTGTACTCGGATAGCCATCGTAGCCCTACTGTACAAGCACTTCAACACCTCGATATACCGACAGTCAACTTGGCATCGCTGAAGCGACTGCAGCACCGCCCAAATTTCGACGGAATCAAAGGCTTTCTCATAGTCCACATACGCCAGACATAGTGGCAAATTGTACTCCTCGGACTTCTGTACAATTTGCCGAAGGGTATATATGTGGTCTATGGTGCTAAAGCCTTTTCGGAAACCGGCTTGTTCGGGAGGCTGGAAGTCATCAAGTCTGCGCGCGAGACGATTCTGCATTGGAAGATGTTTTCAAGCTTCTGGACTGGAAAGGATACGGTATCAACATCAATGGCGAGTACATCACTCACCTTCGATTTGCCGACGATATAGTCCTTATGGCAGAATCGCTGGAGGACCTAAGCACTATGCTCAATGACCTCAATAGTGTTTCCCAACGGATAGGTCTTAAGATGAACATGGACAAAACAAAGATCATGTTTAATGTCCATGTCACACCTATGCCGGTAGTTGTTGGGAACACTAAGCTCGAAGTTGTTGACGAGTATGTTTACCTGGGACAAATAGTCCGACTAGGTAAGTCCAACTTCGACCGAGAGGTCAATCGACGGATTCAACTCGGTTGGGCAGCGTTCGGGAAATTACGGCACATCTTCTCGTCAGGTATACCTCAAAACTTGAAAACGAGACTGTACACCCAGTGCGTGTTGCCAGTGATGACATACGGAACTGAGACGTGGTCCTTCACTGCTGGCCGGATGAGGAAGCTCAAGGTCGCTCAGCGAGCTATGGAGAGGGCTATGCTCGGAGTTTCTCTGCGTGATAAACTCAGAAATGAGGATATCCGCAGTAGAACTAGAGTGACCGACATAGCCCAACGGATTAGTAAGCTGAAGTGGCAATGGGCCGGCCATATAGCTCGAAGAACCGACAACCGATGGGGAAGAAAGGTTCTCGAGTGGCAGCCTCGTACCGGCAGGCGAAGTGTAGGGCGTCCCCCCACTAGATGGAGTGACGACCTGGTAAGATATACAGGAAGTCGATGGATGCAGGTGGCTCAGGACCGTGCTTTGTGGCATTCTTTGGGGGAGGCCTATGTTCAGCAGTGGACTTGTGAAGGGCTGTAATGATGATGATGATGATGAAAAAAAATTGTTATGCTGCTATATTATGCTGCTATTCTTTACGAGCGATGTCCTTCTCTAGTCGAGCTGAGCCATTCCTACTACAAACATAATACAGCTGTTGCTGACATACGAGGACAAAATGTCTAAGAATCTAACATTAATTCCACCAACATTACTTCTGCATAAACTTTTAAAAACCTTTTCAAAAAGTTCACTGTTAAACATTTAAAGGAAGAATTTATACTGTACATAATTTATAGATGACAGCTATATTACTGGTATGGTTGTAGCACGAATGGCTCCGCTCGACCGGGGAGGAACCACGCTCTCACAGAATTCAAGCTTAACGCTGCTGTGTTTCGTATGGTAAGTGTAGAGAACCGGAGACCCTTTTTACTGCTAACAAGGCATGCCATCTTAGTCCTCACGGGTGACAGCGCAATTGAATTTTGAATCGTCATCGGGGATAGATGGAGATGTCTATAGGCCACAGCAACTATTTACCATCAGGTGGACTGTGTGCTCGTTTGCCACCCTTATTCTATAAAAAAAGAAGATGTACCCTCTTGCATCTCGCATTCCTCATTCATCCTCGCATACGTGAATGCAAGCCTATTTGAAAAAAAAACTTTGAAGAAAAAAAAACAACTAAAATATAGAAGAGGTGATAATAACAATATACTTATGATATCTAATATAATTAGTATGACGTCTGACTTATCTATCGTATTTGGGTAATCCTGTAATGATAGTAGTAAGACGATAT